TCGCCCCGCATCCCACCCTAGAGCGGGCCACTGCGGTATGGGCGGAAGATATGGAGACAGCCTTAACAGACTCCTCCATCGTAGAAGAGTAATGTGCCCTGATCGACACGACACTGTACGGCTTCCAGTCCACAAAGGCCGGAATGCGCGAGGTCTTCAAAGGCATCGTCAAGAGCTTGGAGGTATATCTCCTTGCATTAATAGAACCCTTTAGTATTAGAATTCCTTTTGTTTGAAGACTTATATCGTGGCGTAGCACTTATAAGAGCGTAGCTAGCCAGTAGTCCCCGAGCCTGAAGCAAGTTTAAAGAATCTAGCTTTGGGATCGAAGTATATTATCATAACGCGCTGAATAGTAGCCCCCAAGACCCTGGATGGTCTTCGAAAAAGGATGGGTGATGTCTGCTAAAACTACGTCGGTATTTCCCGAAAGAGGAAGGGATGATGCAGTATAGCGATGGTAGGTATTTCCCTTAGTGACGAGACCAAGGTTATCGAACCAGTAGGAGAACCTCCTCATACCACGTAAACAACACCTGCACACAAATAACAAATACTTGCAACCCGACGTGTTAAAGGGGTTGTCAATCCATTTCGGGTACGGCGCCTCAAGGTAGGCAAATAATGTGAGGTAGAAGTGGTAGATAGGATAAATAGATCGCAGAACAAATAAATTGCAGCAAGGTATTTTTGTATTTTTGGTTTAATAGATCGGAAAATAAATGCAAAGTAAAATAGATCGCAAAGGCAAATATGATGAAAAGAGACCCGGGGGCCGTAGGTTTCACTAGTGGCTTCTCTCGAGAAAAATAGCAAACGGTGGGAAAACAATTACTATTGGGCAATTGCTAAAACTTCAAATAATCATGACGATATCCAGGCAATGATCATTATATATTTATATAGGCATCACGTCCAAGGTTAGTAGAGCGACTCTTGCCTGTATCTACTATTATTACTCTACACATCGACCGCTATCCAGCATGCATCTAGTGTATTAAGTTCATGGAAAAATGGAGTAATGCAATAAGAACGATGACATGATGTAGACAAGATCTGTTTATCTATTGCTTAGATATAGATCCCATCTTGTTATCCTTAGTAGCAACGATACATACCTGTTGGTTCCCCTTCTGTCACTGGGATCAAGCACCGTAAGATCGAATCCACTACAAAGCACATCTTCCGATTGCAAGATAAATAGATCAAGTTGGCCAAACAAAACCCAAATATCGGAGAAGAAATATGAGGCTATAAGCAATCATGCATATAAGAGATCAAAGAAGACTCAAATAACTTTCATGGATAAAAACATAGATCTGATCATAAACTCAAAGTTCACCGGATCCCAACAAACACACCGCAAAAAGGCTTACATCATATGGATCTCCAAGAGACCATTGTATTGATAATCAAGAGAGAGAGAGGAAGCCATCTAGCTACTAACTACGAACCTGTAGGTCTACAAAGAACTACTCATGCATCATCGGAGAGGCACCAATGGAAGTGGTGAATCCCTCTGTGATGGTGTCTAGATTGGATCTGGTGGTTCTGGACTCTGTGGCGGCTGTAATTGATTTTCGTCGACTCCCCTAGGGTTTCTGGAATATTGGGGTATTTATAGAGCAAAGAGGCAGTTCAGGGGGCACCCGAGGTGGGCACAACTCACCAGGGCGTGCCTGGGCCTCCTGGCGCGCCCTGGTGGGTGCTGCTCCCCTCGACCCACCCCCCAGGTGCTTCCTTGGCCCACTGGATGTATTCTGGCCCAAAAAATCCTCCAGGAGTTTCACTGCTTTTGGACTCTATTTGATATTGATTTCCTACGATGTAAAAAACATGTAGAAAATAACAACTGGCACTGGGCACTATGTCAATAGGTTAGTACCAAAAATGATATAAAATGACTATAAAATGATTGTAAAACATCCAAGAATGATAATATAACAACATGGAACAATCAAAAATTATAGATACGTTGGAGACGTATCGGCATCCCCAAGCTTAATTCCTGCTCGTCCTTGAGTAGGTAAATGATAAAAACAATTTTTTTGATGTGGAATGCTGTCTAACATGTTCATCACATTTATTTTCTTTATAGCCTGGACATATAGACTTTTATATGATTCAAAGCAATAGTCTAGTTTTGACATAAAGACTTTAATACTCAAGCATACCAACAAGCAACCATGTCTTTCAAAATATCAACACTAAAGCAAGTTATCCCTAGCCCATTATGCTCAATCATTGATCCATTCATGAAACACACTCGAATATTAGCTACACCCAATGATCAAATACGATCATAGTGCCCCTTAGTTGATGATATAAAGTTGCTTGTAAATGTATATAAAACATCCAAGATTGAAAATATAAATAACATCGAACAATAAAAAATTATAGATACATTGGAGACGTATCTAGCATCCCCAAGCTTAATTCCTGCTCGTCCTCGAGTAGGTAAATGATAAAAACAAATTTTTTGATGTGAAATGCTACCTAACATATTCATCATATATTCTTTTCTTTGTAGCATGGACATTTGGACTTGAATGATTCAAAGCAATAGTCTATAATTTGACATGGAAACATCAATACTCAAGCATATCAACAAGCAACTATGTCTTTCAAAATATCAATGCTAAAGAAAGTTATTCCGAGCCCATTATGCTCAATCATTGATCCATTCATGAAACACACTCAAATATTAACTACACCCAATGCACAAGTATGACAATAGTGTTCCCTAGTTGGTGCTTTATAAGAGAAGATGGTGACTCAACATAAAAATAAATAGATAGACCCTTCGCAGAGGGAAGCAGAGATTTGTAGAGGTGCCAGAGCTCATAGCTTAAGGGGGTTTCCCCCCTTCTGTGGCTCCCTCTTCCCCTCCTCCAACATATATATACTTGAGGTATTGGCACCTTTTGGATATACAAGTTTTGGAGCCTCCTCTAGTTCTGTAGTCTAGTTCTGGTTGTTTCAATTAGAGCTAGATCTAGTTCCTCTAATCCTCATAATTATAAGCCAAGTATGGTTCTAATCTCCTCCCTCTGATTCTCTAGCGACGATTAGCTTCGGGCGGCGAAGCGCTGCCGGAACATGAAGACAGTATGCTTGCAATCTATGGAGAGATTGTGCTTTCGATTCTCCGTTCGAGGGATTGTTCGTGGCCGGTTCACGGGATCGTTCATCTATGGTTCGAGGGACTTCAAGAACGATCTACACCGACTCTTATTCCGCTGCAACTCGGAGTTGGTAACGATCCGATCCAAATCTCATCTTTATAGTTTTCCTATGTGTTCCTAGGGCCTGCAACTCGGAGTTGGTAATGATCCGATCCAAATCTCATCTTCATAGTATTCCTGTGTGTTCCTAGGGCGATTTTTTTTGTTTCCTACTACGCTTCCTAACACGGCCGTCCCAAACACGCATGCATCTCCAGCGATGTCTCGCGGTGGTGGCCCCCGGCCAGGAAGGTCTACACCGTTGCCTTAGTTGGCGGGATTAGCGGGCCACCCCGGCTACGCATACCTAGAGGAACCCACATCGGCCGCACAACTCGTCGCGATGGTCTGCGCCAATTGTCGTGTCACCCACACACTACAAGACTGCATCATCGCCGACCTCACCACGGGTGACGGAACCAACCTGGTCGACGTCGTCTCGGCCTCAGACGACGAGATCAGCAATGGAGTGTGAATGGATACAAGCATAAGCAGGCGTCTGCCCCACGTGTATGAAACTTGTCTTCAGTCTCCGCAGGCGATATGCTGGAACTGCAACTTGTCATGTACTCGAGTACCTCTGACGATCGTCCTGGTTCGTGGGTTCCTCCTGTCATCGTCCTTCTTGATGCGACGCGAGGCGCCGCTTCTCTTAGTCAAGAAGGTATTTGGGCATGTCGCACTCACCTGACGGATAAGGTCTGCACCTTATCGGACCAAGGTGCTCACACCGCCTGTCGGTGACGACGATGGCGGTCTACAATACGTAGAACTACAGCGGGCTACGTGGGGTGGCGTGCACACGCATTGAATACATGGTCGGCGGCATGGCTTTCCGGCTGTGGTGAGAACCTCTTGCACATTTAGGCTGGTCATAGTGGAGAGTAACTTAGACTAGTAACATACATATGTTACTAGTCTATGTTACTACCTTCATAGTGGGTAGTGTCATAGGTGTGGTAACATAGTTGCCTTCATTTATTACTTTGTAGACTCATTATGCATTGGAAACCGCTATGTGATGGTAACATATTATGTTACTCTATTTGCCTCTCTCCTCATTAACTACTTGCCAGATCACCAATTTTGCTTATGTGGCATCTATGTTACTACCTATGTTAGGCTGGTCATAGTGGGGAGTAACTTAGACTAGTAACATACATATGTTACTAGTCTATGTTACTACCTTCATAATGGGTAGTGTCATAGGTGTGGTAACATAGTTGCCTTCATTTATTACTTTGTAGACTCATTATGCATTGGAAACCGCTATGTGATGGTAACATATTATGTTACTCTATTTGCCTCTCTCCTCATTAACTACTTGCCACATCATCATTTTTGCTTATGTGGCATCTATATTACTACCTATGTTACTCCCACTATGACCAGCCTTACCCTCCTCTGCTTCGTCTGCCTCTGCCCACTTTAAATACCTCCGCTCCCCGGCCCGTAGCGTAGTAGTACGCATCAGCCCTCCCTTCCCTGGCCTCAGTAGTTAGCCACTAGCCACTGAACACTACCAGGAGGGATCAGAAGGCTACCATGAGGCAAGGAGGGGGCGGAGGCGACGGGGTGAGCCCCGGCAATGTCCCGGTGTGCTACTACGGCGCGGGCGGGCGAGTCTCGGCCACCCTGGAGCGGCGGGTGCGCGCCGCCGAGGTGCTCCTGCGGTGCGCGGCGTGCGGCCTGGCCGTGCTCGCCGCCGCCCTCCTCGGCGCCGACCGCCAGTCCCGCACCTTCTTCTCCATCCAGAAGGTCGCCCGGTACACCGACATGCAGTCCCTCGTGTAAGCAACACCTATCTTAATTTCCTCTCAGTTAGTAGCATGCAGTAGTAGTAAATCAAATCAACCTGCTCTATCTGCATGCGGCCACTAAAAAATCCCCTCTCGGCCGTGCACGGCTCACTGTCTCACCAGTCACGGCTAGTCGCTGTCTCACTAGTCACGGCTCTCCGCCACTAAAAATTTCTCCTCTCGACTAGTCACGGCTCACTCAGGCTGTGAATCAGCGCAGCAGCAAAGAAGCGGATCTTCACAAAATTTCCATTTTTCCTTTTTGCACGAAAGTAGCCACTGGTACGGTACGGGTGTTCACATTGCGGCAGTGTTCCAGCGGTGCTATATGTCGCGGAACCATCGTTCACTCGCCGTCGCCGATGGGATCGATCGAGCGAGCCCATTATTCTAGCTAAGAATCTTTCTACTACTGGTTTTCACACAACGAGCATGTACCTCACCTTGTGGCGTTGAGTAGCCGGCCACGCACTAGCCACTCGGCCAATGTCCTAGTACGACTTCCTTTATGAGCTACTCATGCTCAGTTATAGTAATCTTCCTTCCCCACAGATGTTTTTCATAGAAATCTTCCTTAATTTGGCCGGGAAGCGATCAGATTAGCCACCAGCCCAACATAGTATCAGCAGTTTATCAGATAGTGCAACACGCAGGAGCAAATTAAACCATCGACGAGGACGATGTTACGGTGATAACGAGACGATTGACTGCAGGAGTAGCTAGCTGCTAGCAGAGCAACCACCACGACCAACTACCCAGAGACGAGACGAGACGTACGTCGTCACGGAGGAAACAAGCGCTTAAAGGCTATTTTATCCCCCTGTCGGGGCCAACGGCCCATCCCCCATATGTGCCGGTGCCAGCGCTGCCTCCCCGCCTCGCTGCGTGGCCGCACCGGGGAAGGCTCTGCCTGCATGCTTGTAGACGGGCAGGCAGACCTGGCCGCGAAACTCCATTGAAAATTAATGGCGCGTACGTACGCATGCCGGTGATGGCATCGCAGGGAGGTGAAACGGGTAGGAGGAGGAGAACGAACGACAAGTGTGTAAGTGTGCTCACAGTAGCAACCATCGTCGCACCCACCACGTGGTGCAGTGCAGTGCAGTGCTCAATGGTTACTTAGATCATTTATGGGGGCGCGTACACTGACCGCATGAACCTACCTACTTCCCCTCGCCTACCGGCGATCACGGAAGAGGCGCATCTACGATTTTACTGCATCTGAAACGGGTTTATTTTTACTGTGCCAATAATTCATGGTGTTCTTTTATCAGTGGAGAAAATCAGAAGTTTTGTTCAAAATGCGAGTGATACAGTGCTCCATGATCAGCGATTCAGGATGTTTGGCAGCCATTTATGGTCGGCATTGAAGCCATCAGATGTGTGTGTGCGCGTTTGCATCGCCCACTTCAAAAAACCTTCATTGTTTCTCTCCACATTTAACACCTCTAGCTCCACAAGCTAGCTAGCAGGACCATCCTCACTCACACTGGACCAACACATAATGTGCCAAGTAGTACAATTGAAAAGCTAACCCAGGACATCAAGGCTGTAACATGTACAAGTAATTCTGTAGGCCAACATTAAGTACCGCACACAGTGGTGGTGTGTTGATCACTTGTCTTTGGATGCAGGATCTTGGTGATAGCAAGTGGAATGGTCGCCTGTTACAGCCTGCTGCAGGGCGCGAGGTGCCTGGTGAGTATTATCAGGGGTGGCATCCTTCTCAACAGGCCCTTGGCATGGGCGATCTTCTCCTGTGATCAGGCAAGTTACTAGTGGTTGTTGTCGCCATCAGCCTTTCTTGTCATTTGTTTGCTTTCGTTACCATACATACATCATGTTTGTCTCCTTGCTTTCACTATCAGTGAGTGGCTTTCGGCTATCA